GCTTTCTCCACTCCGTAGTGATGTTTGCAGTTGGTGGCTGCAGCCACCTGAAGCACCACCTGMCCCACACCTGCAGAGACAAAAAAACCCCACAGCTGAAAGCATTGCAAAGGGACAGACCAAGAGCTTGCTCTCTTTGCTTCCTCTCTCTGAAAATCTCTAAAAAAATCATTGAAGARCCCTGACTGGAGATGTTTTAAGGTCTGGGGGGATGGCAATCCTGCTGGATTTAAATTTAAAAGATATTTTACATATATTTAATATCCACACAATTTTTAATACTATATTATTTAATTTAATATTTAATAACATTATTTGTAGAGCAAAGTGTGCACAAAAAAAAAAACAGGTGAACAGTGGGATTGGCTGCAGTTTCAGTGCCCAGGGCTCTGACATTTGGCCATTCCCAAAGTCATCCCCACCTCCCTGGTGCTGCTCAGACCCCCAAAAATACCTGATTTATTTCTAAAAAAGCCAGCAGCACCCCAGGGAGATGGGAATGACTGTTCAGACCGCAAGAAATGCCCAATTTATTTCCAGGGACAGCAGAAAGAAGCATCCCCCACAGTCCTGTTACCCAGCCAGCAGCACCCCAGGGCCCCAGATATGATCTTCTTTAACCTTCCTGGATAAACAATTGTGAGAATCTTTGGAGGTTTGGTTTTTTTTTCCCCTCCAGATGGGAAAGAGTTTCTCAGCTCTGATACCTTGCTAAAGGTCTCATCTGAACATCAGTCCCTGACAGGAAATTTGAAATTTCAGTCAGCTCCACTGAGGAGGAAGCAGAAGTAACAAAAAACATTGAAGAGCCCTGACTGGAGATGGTTTAAGTTTTAGAGGGATGGCAACCCTATTTTACTGGAATGTAAAATATATTTTAAATATATTTCATATCTACACTATTTTAAATATGATATTATTTAATTTAGTATTTAATTACATTATGATTTATTATTTCATGTATATTATTTTAATATAATTTAATTTATAAAATATTAAATGTCTATTMTATTAAATATTTTGCTACAATTTCACTGAAATATTGAATATTTTATATAGATATTTATTATTTAAAATACTATTTTAATGTTCTTTTTTTTTAATGCTTTTTTTCTCAGAACTCCTATATCACACCAGCAACAAAACCCACACACACTTCTTTGGGTTCAAACATGTTAAAACTTTAGAACACATCAAGCAAGAGAGGAAATTCTTATTGCTCCTTTCCTGTTTCTGAAGAGGATTGTACCAAGAAAAGGAACATCATCTCCTTACTCAGTAACTCTTGCACATGTGCTTGAGTCATACCTGGTTTCCTCACCAGCAAGACACATCTATTTCCTTTTAAAACTCAAATTGCAGTTGTGGGTTACATTTTGTGGGGTTTCACAGCTGTTGAAGTGAGCTGTAAAAGCTTTTTGACACCCTGAGAAGTCAGAGGTGAAAACTTCATTTTCACATTCCATACTAAATGTTTTGCATGGGGAGAAGGGTCAAGAAATGCCATTTTCCGATAGGAAGGGCATAAAGCTAATGCAGTGGAATCCTCAGGAATGCAACTTCAGGGCTCAAGAATCATTTTGAACATTGTTTCTACTTTCCAAGAGTATCCAGCAATACCAACAAAAACAAAAAGGGGTTTGTAACAAAGCATTGCAGGCTGAAATTTCACTGCCACCACAACAGAAGGGCTGGGMTGTTTGTTTGGTCCATTTAATCACGGCATAAAAAGCAGGAGCATCTTTAGGGATTATCTAGAAAAGATGCTTATCCTGTAACACAATCCCCAGTGCTGCTTTACCTCCCAAATATGGGGTTTTTAAAAATATAAACAGCAAAGAAAAGAGACAAAGGAGTTATTGGTCACTCACCACTGCCCAAGTCAACRAACAGATCATCCTCGGTCATTTTGATCTCGTCGATCATTTGGGCCACCAGGTCGAAGGAGGTTTCTCCGTAGACCTCGGGCGAGAAGGGCTCGTAGTTGTTGAGTTTCTCGGGGTCAGTGACCGAGTGGTTGTAGACCTGCTGCAGGATGTGCCGCAGGAGCCCGTTGGAGGGACGTGTGTTCAGCTTCATGGGCTGCGTGGTGCCCTTCCACTGCGGGGACAGCGGGGACACMGTGTGAGTGCCTCAGGGACAGGGGGGACACAGTGTGAGCACCACCTGGGGATGGGGAATGGCACCAGGGACAGCAGAAACATGGTGTGAGCACCCCAGGGACAGCGGGGACACGGTTTGAGCGTGCCAGGGACAGGGGGGACATGGTGTGAGCAACCCAGGGACAGTGGGGACACGCAGTGCAACCCTCAGGGACAGCGGGGACACGGTGTGAGCACACCATGGGACAGTGGGGACACGGAGTGAGTGCGCCATGAGGAGAGTGGGGAACACAGGCTGAGACCACCAGGGACAGTGGGGACACGGTGGGAGCAACCCAGAGACAGCGGGGACATGGAATGAGCACACCATGGGGACAGTGGAACATGGTGTGAAACCCCCAGGGACAATGGGGACATGGTGTGAGCAACCCAGGGACAGCGGGGACACGGTGTGAGTGACCCAGGGATAGCAGGGACACGGTGTGAGCATGCCATGGGGACAGTGGGGACACGGGCTGAGACCACCAGGGACAGTGGGGACATGATGTGAGCAACCCAGGGACAGCGGGGATACAGCATGAGACCAGCAGGGACACAGCGTGAGTGCCCTATGGGGACGGGGAATGGCACTGGGGACAGCGGGGACACGGGCTGAGACCACCAGGGACAGTGGGGACACGGCGTGAGTGCCTCAGGGACAGGGAATGGGACCAAAGGCAGCTGGGAAAGGGGACAGAGCCCCTCCCAGCCCCTCTGGGCCAGGCTGGGCTCCACAAAGGTAAAAGCAGGGAATGGAACTGGGAGAGTTTGGGGTGCTCACCTGGACAGGAGAAGGATCCAGGGAGAGCTCAGAGCCCCTTTTGGGGCCTGAAGGGGCTCCAGGAGAGCTGGAGAGGGACTGGGGCCAAGGGCTGGAGGGACAGGACACAGGGAATGGCTTCCCAGTGCCAGAGGGCAGGGATGGATGGGATATTGGGCAGGAATTGTTCCCTGGGAGGGTGGGGAGGCCCTGGCACAGGGTGCCCAGAGCAGCTGTGGCTGCCCCTGGATCCCTGGCAGTGCCCAAGGCCAGGCTGGACATTGGGGCTGGGAGYRVCCTGGGACAGTGGGAGGTGTCCCTGCCATGGCAGGKGTGGGATGGGATGGGATGGGATTTAAGGTCCCTCCCAACCCAAAGCAGTGACAGCACAGAGATCACACTGCACCAGCTGCTCTGTGCTTTGTCACACCTGAGCTAAACAGGGAATTTCACAGGTGGTCATGGGGAAATTAAAGAGATGCAAAAACCAACAGGACACATAAAACTTAGCACTAAATAGAGTTGGGGAGGGTGGAATGGTTTGGTTTTGGTTTTTGATTTTTAATTWAATTATTTTTTAATTTTGCTTCAGGAGCTGTCAGATGGGAGGGATCAKATGCACTCAAACAGGGAGTGGCAGGAAAGAGATGGAAATCAAGCTTCCTTTCTTCTTCAGAAAAAAAAAAATAAAAACTGTCCTAAGCGTGAAAGTTTTTAAAATATCTGCCTCTTTAATAAAAACAAACAAAAAAATGGCAGCTCCAGGACCCCTCCTAAATATTTCTGTGAGACTCAGATAAGGAGAAAATGAATCACATCAGGTTTATCAGTTCAGACAGCAACTGCAAAYGCTGAATAGCTGCTAAGGTGTCTGAATCCAAATAAGCACAAGTTTTTAAGGCCCAAAAAATTAAGAAAACCCCAGTAAAAAAGGCTTGTTGCCATAATATTGCACATTTCAAATAATCCCCATAAGCACAGCAGAGAAAAAAAAAATCCACCTATGCTTTCAAATGAAGCAGAATAGTAACATGATTCATTGCTCATGTTTTGATTGCTCCAGTTCAACCTTTTATGGGGGGAAGAGAACCAAAAAGCTCATTAAATTGGCCTGGAAAGAGATTACATCCTGCTTTAGCCAATGATCCCACAGGCCAGAGCAGCTGAACTGTGGCAAGGAAATTCCTAAGCCATGGATCACTTCCACAACACACAGGAGAGTTCATATGGATTATTTAAGTACCCATAAGTCACAGAGTTCCCTGTGCAAAAGTCAATCTATATGAGAAATCCCTGTGTTCGATGCACAGAAAYCTTTCCTTCCCCCTGAAGGTAACTCAGCTGTTTCCAAGTGCAAAAACAACAGTGCCAGAAGTGCAACAGCTCTGAATTTGGGAACAAAAAGTGGGGTTTTATTTCCTTTTTTTCTATAAAAATGGCTCTCCAATACTAACTTCTTGACTGTGTGATCAAAAAAATAAGTTTAATACCAAGCTCAAGCCCCCTGAAAAATGGAAGTGCTGGATGTTGGGGGTGCTACAGGAACGGGTTTAATGCAGCAGTGAGACAATCACAGCTTTCTGCTGTGTTATTACATCTGAATTTAAACCTGGCACCCCAAAACCACAGCAGGGCCCCAAATCAAAACTCCCCAAATCAAAACTCCCCAAATCAAAACTCACCAACTGGTGGATGCTGTCGATGGCTCGGTTGTACTTGTCACACAGTCTCTGCATGCTCTCAAAGCTGGGGGGAGAACACAGGACCAGCTCAAAACACACACCATGGAAGGGAAAACCTTGGCTTTTTCAATCTTATTTACTCTAAGTAGGTATTTAAGGTTTGTTTCTCTCAGAATATGTCACTGCATACACAGATTTAAGATTTTGTTTCCTTAAAAAATAAATCCCCARTAGACCATGACAAATACCTTTAATTCCTTTATTATAAGTCATATTTGAGTTCAGTTCTTTTCCTGTAAAAATTCTGTATTCTAAGAACCTCTTCTCCATATTCTCAGCTGCACAGGAATTTAGGAGCTCTGTAAAATTTTCTCCTTTTTTTTTGCTGTCATCTCTCCATGATAATCAGCCCTGAGACAAGCAGATGCTTTTCCAGAAATTAACTCTGGGATTGAAAATGCAGACAGAGGCAGGACAGAGCSTAAAACATCACCATGGGATTGATCCATGGGCTAGCTGGGATTATGGTCAGTCCAGCAGATGCCTTAATGACACAAACTGAGAGGATTAAATCAATTCATCTGAGGCCAGGAAAGCAAGGATAGCCCTGGGAACATCAATTGTTACATAATCAGAGCTACAGAACAGCAGAGAAACAGTATCAGGAGTGACAGGAGTGACATCATGAAACCATGGCTTTCCTGGGATGAGAGGGGATGGGATGGGATCCATGGGATAGGATGGGATCCATGGGATGGGATGGGATAGGATCCATGGGATAGGATGGGATCCATGGGATGGGATCCATGGGATCCATGGGATAGGATGGGATCCATGGGATGGGATCCATGGGATGGGATCAGATGGGATGGGATCAGATGGGATGGGATCAGATGGGATGGGATCAGATGGGATGGGATGGGACCAAGGGACATCAGAAGGGACATTTCAGTCTCTCGTGATCCCCAGGGGCACTGCATTGGCCAGGACACCTCTCCCACAGTTCTGCCCATCCCATTGCTGGCTTCCAGCTGCCTGCACTTCTTTGAATGCTGCGAAAAGCAAAGGCTGCAGTGGGGTTTGGCTGCAGAGCCTCTCTATTTCCATAACCTGCTGCTTCTCTTTCACATCCTCAGCTCAGCCCATCTGCTGCCAGCAATTTTTCTGACAAATTTYTTCAAAAGGAAAAAAAGACTGAAACCGTTACCAAAATTCCAGTTCATTACTTCCTTGAAAAGCTGCAGGAAGGTGATGGGGGTGACTTTGGGAACAGAGGGGGTTCTCTTTCATTCAGCATTGCTGCTGACCACACTGATGGCACCCAGTAAAACATACCAGTGAGGGTGCCTGAATTACAAAATTACAGCACTGCAGCCACTGTGAGTAATCCACAAATCCAAATTAATGGATTTTGATGACAAGGGATGCTCGACCCTGATTCCTCCCTTTGAGTTTTCCAGGAGGAAGAGAGGGACTAACAAAGCCAGCAACGAAACAAYTGAAAATTGAGAGAGGCAGATCATGACAGAAGTATCTGGTGCTCAGRARGTTTAGGTTGGGTATCAGGAAAAGGTTCTTCTGTCCCCAGAGGGTGCTGGCACTGCCCAGGCTCCCCAGGGAATGGTCCCGGCCCCGAGGCTGCCAGAGCTGCAGGAGCGTTTGGACAGCGCTGCCAGGGATGAACAGGGTGGGGTTGTTGGGGGGTCTGGGCAGGGACAGGGGTGGGATTGATGATCCCTGTGGGATCCAGCTCAGGATATTCTGTGATCCCACACAGAGCAATGCAGTTTCAGCTGTAAACTTTGTTCTGACAGTTGTTCTGTGGATGTGGATAAATTCAGAGTTTCCCATGAAGGCAGCTAAGGAGGTTTTTGTAAAGTGCAGTTTGAGCATCACCCTTTTCCCAGCCTCAGGAGAGCCAAACCCATGCACAGAACTCCAAAACCCTCCAGAGACACAGCACAGGTCAGGATCAGCCTCTCCCAGCCTGCAGGGAGATGTCTCATAGCAGACACTCACTCTGAGCTACCATGGACAGGAATTCACCCATAACTGAGGCACCTCAGAACCCCCCAAACAGGGAATTTCACCTAATCCAGCCCCCACCCTGCAGGAAGGGAAGGGAGGGAGAGGAAGCTGCACCTCCCACAGCCACAGCCCTGCCATGCCCTGCTKTGAGCAGGAATTCCTGGTTACTACAGGAGTAGAAAACCTCTGCACCATGGAGATTCCCCCCCTGGCTGCGCTCCAAGGGCACGGATACCGATCATTGTTCCGTGCTGAGCAAATCCAACGCACGGCAGAACCGTGTGGAGTTTCCAATTATGTCCTTAATCCAACTGCCTCTGCCAATGTTGCTGTTACACATTTCCTACCAAAATAACTCMACTGAGCCCCAAGCCAGTTCTGAGRGAAAAACTTCAGTTGGTAGTGACTAAGAATAACCAGTTACACACCACAGCCTGTGATGGCCTGAACTCCTGCTGGGAACAAAAACATTCCTCTCACCTTTTYGTATCATAATCAATTAAAACGTAGTTTTCCATGGCAAGCTTGAGATCTGGGATTTCTTCACAGACCCACCTGGAAGGAGAGAAGAAATAATGAATAGAGGAATTGCCATYTAAGTGTAATAAGGTAATTTATCTCAATTCTGGACAGCTTTGCACGAAGGGAGGATGCTGCAGCAGCCCTGGGAGCTCCCAAAATTGTCAGGGATAAGGCAGATGTCATGGAATGTTCCCTGGAAAACTGCAGCAGTTCATATTTGTGCTGAATAAACAGCAAGATGCCTGTAGACACTGGCAGGAACAGAAAGCTTCAAAAAGGCTTCAAAGCAAGGTGATGAATGTATTCCACGTGTCTAAAAATACTCAAAAGTCATGGCTGATGTTAATCTGACACAGAATGCACAAGTGCAGCATTTCCAAAGAATTCTGCTGCTGCAGGAAGCTGGGCCAAAGCTRAATGTGGAGAACACATTTCCCCCATTTGCCCAAAACCAGCCACCAACCACTCAGTGCCAGGATATTCTCCTCAGGGGAGTGTCTAAACTGCTCTTAYACCTTCCACACCCAGCCAAACCAGATTTTTAGAAGTTATTTTGATGAAAGAGCCCTTTGATAGCCTGAACGAACACAGCCCTGTATGCTGTGGCCAGCAGAAAGGAAAAGCACGTGCCCACTTGCAGGGTATCCAACAATGGCAGCTCACAGGAGAGAGCTTCACTCRTGGCATGGAGGAAGATTAATTCCCTTCAAAGGCAATTTAAAAGCCACAGAAGCTTTGCACACATTTTCCTGCACAAATATCAAATTGGAAAGCACTGTCAGCAGCAAAAAACCTCCCATTGCAGGATGAATTCCAACAGGAAATGCAGAATTTCTTCCTCATAAACCTTACTCCATTCTTCCTTATTAAAATGGAGAGGAAAAATAATAATAATAAAGATCCAACAGTTCTGGTTCCTTCTGGCTGAATCACAGATGGCAAATAACTACACAGGCGAGTSAAAAGCAGAACTTGGGCATCTATTGCTGACTCTCTTTGGGTATTTTCCACCTCCTAAAAGCATCAGGGCTCTCTGCAAAATTTTTTACCCTTAAATCCCAGCAATGGGCAGTCAACAGCTGCCTGCCAGCAGCTTGATCCTTGTGTCCCTTCCAGCCTGGGATATTCCACAATTCCTTTATGAGATAAAGGCTTCCTTGCATTCTGTCAGCCCCACACTTTCCCAACCCCACYGTGGGCACTTTGCACAAGGCAAAGGCAGCACGAGAGTTTGTGACACTGAGTTCTTGCTGAAAACACACTTGTGAAACATCACTTTGACCCAGCTGCCTCCTGAGAGAGTTTCCCTTGGCCTTCAGCACACAAAGCACCAACAACTCCAGCCCAGCCTCCCTCTGAACCCTTGGAAAGGACCTTCCCCACAACCYCACTGATGCCAAGGATCCCAAAGCACAGGAACTCATCCCCACCAGCCCAAGCAAACTGGCAGCAGTTTTGTGGCAAGGTTCTATAGTTGGGAAAAGAAATTCCTTCAGAAGGAAAAYTGTCAGCTCCAGCCCTGTTGCACACCCTCTGCCACACCAGACCATGGGAAATGTTCTGATTTCATGTGAGTGATGTTATCACACTTGGCCCTGACACAGAATGCAGAAGTGCAGCATTTCCAAAGAATTCTGCTGCTGCAGGGAGCTTGGCCAAAGCTGAATGTGGAGAACACATTWCCCCCAGCAGTCCAAAACCAGCCACTTGRTGCCAGGATATTCWCCTCACACTGGGTGCACACAAGGCWCACCACTAYCCTTTTTGSGGCTCACCACTACCCTTTTTKGRGCCATGTGTGACYRAATTTCAAGCTCAGGTGGCTCAGCAGGTACCTCACCTGTGTCTGCACCACCCAAACATTAAAAGCTGCTGCAGACACAGCCTGAGCTGAGCCAAGGGCAGCCTGCAAGGATCTAACACGGTGAACAAGAGCAGCTTTGTAATGGGATAACTCATCCTCATCCCTCAGGTGTTTGGGGAATTCRTGTAGCATTTATTAAAAGTTGTTCTTTGGCACGGCCCCTCCTAATCCTGCTGAAATAACAGCAAGTCACGTCCTGACTGCCCGTGTTGGGAAATCCTCTGCCTTCCTGCTCCTCACAGTCGTGTTTCACCTTTATCCTCCCATTTTCCCCACGCTGCTCCAACTCCAGCAGCAGGATTAGAGCAATGCTGCAGGGAGATCATTGCCAAACAGCCCGAACTCTGTGAGATCACAGCAACAAGAGCAAGGCAGAGGGTGGCCAAGGCAACATCAGCACATAAAACATCAATCCAAGGATGTTCCCTTAACCTTGTTTGTCCACAGCTCCAGTACAAACTGCCACGGGCATGAGCTGAACAACACTGCTGATTTTTAACTCTGCTCAAAACAAAGTATGGCAAAATAAAGCAAAATCTACTCGGCAGGGAGCTCTGTATTGCAATAAATTCAGTTTAGATAATTACTAAAAGGTAATTGCTGCCCTCCTGTGTGTCCTGACTCCACACACCCCTTCCCAGAGTTGCAGAGAGGTGCAGGAAGGGTCTCAGCCCGTGCACCAAGAACTTACCGAATTGTCTCGATAATTTCATGAGCAGCATCGTGGTGTTTGTCCTGAAATAAAAAATAGAAAGAGTCACATAAGGTGCTGTTTGTCAGGAGCTTGCAGGAATCACAGTATTTTTAAGGATACAGCTGCTGAGCATGCTGGGAAAGGAATCTTTGAATTGCACCCATTAAAGCCATCAAAATGAGCCATCTAAGAAAAAAATAATGCTTAAGGAAATACATTTTTCAGTGTCTCTGAGTGACTGAAGGAACTGTCATTCCACTCATTTCTTTGCCATTCCCTGCAGTGGCTGGAAGCCTTTGGGGATTATTGGGATGCAGCAGGTTCCCAAAGAACAGCTGATTCCCTTGGCCCAGCAGCTGGCACARGCTCCCAGCTCCAGATGGGCAGCGGAATTCTAGCACAGGGGATGAATTTCTGAAATGAAGCAGCCAATAAATAGGAGGAGAGGATGTCAGCGCAGGAAAAACACCCTGAGAGCACACACACACAGAGAAAAAGGCCTGGATGTGCAGCCCTGCTCAGGAGATAAAACCTTAAAAAAAGCAAAGCTTGAGCATCACACATCTGCACCAGGGTGAGATGCAGGGGTTTGTTGATTTAATTTGGGAGTTTACTCAGGAGCAACAGAAGCACAAGCAGGTTTAGCAAATTCATGCTAAAAAAGCCCTTGGAGCTGTATTTATATTCTAAATTTCTATTTTAGGGAAGCCACAGGAGATCCTACACACATTGTTGTATCCAGCTGGTGAAGCCGCAGTTAGCAGAGTCCATCTGCACAAAGCTGGGGTTATATTTAGAGATTTGTTTCTGGAAGTGGCTCTGACCTTTTAATGAGGAGTCTCAGAATGAAGGCCCTTCCAGAGTTACAAGTGCAAAGGCTCCCTCAAAGCATTTCCCTTGTCTTGTGCTGCAGAAATGACATTTCTGGGGAGTTACCGGGGGAAATTCTGCAGAAAAGGGCGGGGAGGTAACAAAAAGCACTGGGGTCAGGGGAAGGAAGGGAAGAATGAAACCACTGATGGCTGATGACAGAAAATGGTTGGATTATCCTATTTTCAAGACCTGGAAGGACATGATCTGAGTCAAATGGAAGCTCTTTTCCATCAGCACCTCAGCTTTCCTATTTCCATAAGGAAACACATTTCTCCTTCCATAACCAGTTCATGAACTTGGGATCAGCCAGGCCTGCAGAAGTTCTCATTCCAAGAAATCTGTACACTGCCCTTGGGGTACCTGGAGAAAAATCTCAGGACAGAGGGACACAAAAGCAAGGATTTCTGAGCCTCCTTCCTRAGGGGGCTTATAAATGGGAGAGAGAGGGGCTTTTAATATAGGGGGATAGACAGAGAAGGGGGAATGGCTTCCACTGCCAGAGGGCAGGGATAGGTGGGATAATGAGAAGGAATTTTTGGCTGTGAGGGTGAGGAGGGGCTGGAATGGATTTCCCAGAGCTGTGGGAAGCTGTGGCTGCCCCTGGATCCCTGGCAGTGCCCAAGGCCAGGCTGGACATTGGGGCTGGGAGCACCCTGGGACAGTGGAAGGTGGAACTGATTTATATTTCAGGTCCCTTCCAACCCAAACCAGTCTGTGATTCAATTCTAAATTTATGAGGGAACACAACTGCACCAAATAAACCTTTTCCTTTCAGATGACAAAAAGTTAATCCCAAATCTGGAAGTCACATTAAGCCAAGAAAACCCAAATATTGCAGTTACAGCACGGAGAAGGAAAAGCAGCCAACAGCAGTAGCCAGGACACTTGGGATGGATGGAACACACAGAGCCTGGGCCACATTGAACAACTTTTGATGCCCCAAACATCACAGAACAGGTCTGGGGATGTGCTTCCTCCAGTCTCCAAACCCTACAGAAACCAGCAGCATCCCTAACAGCCTCCCAGGAATGTCAGGTAATTCTTTGGATAAATCTTGGCCTAGAAATCAGGGAAGCAACTGAGCTCAAAGCTGCTYCTGCCTCTGAGTGCACAAATAAAAGAAAGCATGTTCTCTCCTCTTTTCTCTGTGCACTGAAAGGAGGGCACAAGGAGGGAGGAGAACTTCTCTTTCTTCTCCTTTCTTATCTGCCAAATGTAAGAATAAGCCAGGACAGCAKCTCATCCATAAACATCCCCCAGAAATGTTCACGTTTCACTCCACGCAGAATTATCCCAGCAGAGCCCCCCTGGGCTGATGCAGCTCTCCCATAAACTGTGTTCCTGCAGAGGCARAATTGGCTTTATCAGCATAAGCACATTATAGCAGAAAACTGAATTCAGGCTCATTGTGGCATGGCCATTTCCTGGGAGGAARTTCCATTCCCCACTCTGGGGCTGGACATTTGCAGTGTGAGCACAGCACATGAGAGATCACTTATCCTAGAGATCTTCATGCAAATACCCCTATATACAACCAAAATTGTCCAATTGGGTTAAAAATTGTAAAAATTGTATAAAAAAAAGTGTAAAAAAAGTGTAAAAAGTGTAAAAAAAAAAGTCTTTTTTTCTTGGGTTAAAAAGTTAAAAAATCAATTTTTAATATCATAATAAAAAAAAAAAATCACAATTCACATCTACAACTACAGATCAGCCAATTTAAGTGACTTTGCACAAACTCATGTGGGAACTCCAGGCAGAAGGGATCTTTGAGGTTGGTTTGTGACATTAGCAAGGAATAATGAAACTCCAAGCAGTTTCACATCTACTGCTGCTGAACTTCCCATGTTGAAACACTTCCCAAATTCACTATACTCGCTGACAGATTTTGGCTGAGCAGAGAAGCTCTCATGGTCTCAAGCAAGTCTTGAAAAAAAAAAAAAAAAAAAAAAAAAAAAAAAAAAAAAAACCAGTATGATCTCCTACATTTATTCAAAGCAGAGCTGGCTGTGGCAAATGGAGGGAAGAGAAGGGGAGAAACAGATTTGAAGGGAATCCAGAGCAGCTTCCAGTTCTTCAGAGAAACTTCCAGCCCCATTTCACCATGATGGTTGTAGGATTTAATCAGAGAAGACACTCAGCAGCAGCAGGCATCACATTAGTGTTCAGGCAATGGGTTATGGCACTGATGGGGAGTCAGAGGCAACCAAAGGGAAAATGGGACAGAAACCCCCCAAATCCTGACCCTGCCCCAGGCTCAGCTTTTCAAAGTCCCAAAATCCCCGATTCTATTGCAGCCCCTACCATGGCCCTTCAAAACAACCCCAAATCCCTGCTCCAGCCTCTGCCATGGTCCTTCCAAACCCCCCAAATCCTGACCATGCTCCAGCCCCTGCCATGGCCCTTCCAAACAAACCCAAATCCCTGCTCCAGCCCCTGCCATGGACCTTCCAACCTCCCCAAATCCCCATTGCAGCCCCTGCCTTGGCCCTTCCAAACCCCTGCAAATCCCCAGTTCCACTCCAGCCCCTGACTTGGTCCTTCCAAACCCCCCAAATCTCCGATTCTACTCCAGCCCCTATCATGGCCCTTCCAAACCCCTCAGATCCTGAACCTGCTCCAGTCCCTGCCATGGCCCTTCCAAACCCCCAAATCGCTGCTCCAGCCCCCCAAACCCCCAAACCCCTGCTCCAGCCCCTGCCAGCAGCATCAGGCAGATGTACAGGTGCAGGTCAGACTCTCAGCAGAGCTGACAGCAGCAGCTTTAACCTGGATCCCTCCCAGCCCCAGGGGAATCCAGCAGCCTAGGAGGAGGGATGGGATCCCTGAGGGTTCTGCTGCAGCCTGGGAGGGATGGGCATCCCTGAGGGTTCTGCTGCAGCTCCAGCAGCCTAGGAGGAGGGATGGGGATCCCTGAGGGTTCTGCTGGAGCCTGGGAGGAGGGATGGGGATCCCTGAGAGTTCTGCTGGAGCCTGGGAGGAGGGATGAGATCTCCGAGGGTTCTGCTGGAGCCTGGGAGGAGGGATGGGATCCCTGAAGGCTCTGCTGCAGCTCCAGCAGCCTGACCAACCCTCCCCTGCTCAGCCAACAGCCCCAAAGGTGGCCTGAAGTTTCTCCAATCCATCCAAGGATCTGAGTTTGTTTTTTTGGCTCCCTTAGGTGTTTTCTGTCACGTTTCCCAGCTGCAGTGCCCATGACTCAGGCTGCAGGCAGGTCGTGCTGCTGTGTCGTGCTGGACTCTGACACCTCAGGGCTCTGGCAGTGGAACCTCGCTGGGAAGAGCCTCCCACAGACTCCATCAATCCTGCCTGCAGAAGCTTTTTGGCCGAGGCTCAAGCAGCCTCTGTTCTGTTCCCAGTCACGAGATGATGCCACCACGGTGCTGTGTGTCACAAAGAGCAGCTCCAYTGAGCCTCCTCCTGCTCCAGGCTGACTCTCCCTCCCTCCTCCCTGCACGCTACGTGCTGCTCCTGGCTTGGATGTACTTTCCAACGTTCCTGTATTTACGTCGTCTGARACTTGCCCTTGGAATCTTCTCAGCCACATAAATGGAAGCTTTTCACCATCAGCCTTTGCTTGAAATACTTTCCACATTAAAGAGATAAGAGTTGCAGCCTGCTGTAATTATTGAGACTGCTCAAAGCTCTTCACAACAAATTTTAAACAAATCAAACCCAAACACACATTGAGCTGCTGCAGCCAACCCTCTCCAGCTGAACTTTTCACAGAGTTCTGCTCTTCAACCTAAAGGCTGAATTGAAACATGAGTTCCCAGAGAAAGTTCARTGCTTTTTGCCAATATATTTCATTGGAAAAAGTAACAGAAMGAAAGCAGACACCTTCTCAAAAGTYACTCCAAAGAGAATCCAACTTTGTAGGGAAAACAGAGGAGCGTGACTCCAGCCAGCGGGACTGAACAGCTTCACAGTTCYGATTGCTACAACACATTTCTCCATCCTCATGTTCCTACAACTTTGAGCACAGGAGTTTGGAGCCAAAACCAGCCCCACTGCTGTCAGCTGAGCACCCCAGGGCCCCCAGYACACACAGCTCCATCCTGCACACACCAAGCTGAGTCCTCCTACASATCCCAACCCCCATCACCCTTCAGRCCRTGAAGGATGGGCTAACAGAGCAATTWTTCAGAGTTTGATCTTCCCCTTCTCTTCA